CCCTCCCCGCCAGGATCCGCCCCTCATCTCCGCCCCCCTCCCCCTGCCCTGCTGGAAGTATGTGGTTCCTGCTCCCCGACCGGGAGTGCCCTCTCGCTGGCCTGAGCACTGGCTTGATCCAGCCGGTGCCCGGGCGCGATGATGCCCGCGGTCTGTTGATCGATGGCACACGCGACCTGGTCCTTGGCCGAGCACACATCGACTCGGATGCCCTGAGTGATGGCACCCTCCAGGGCCTGCTGCAAAATGTCAGCCGCAGCCAGGGTGCGCGCTGTGCCCGATCCGCCGTCCCCCGTATCCACATGCTCCTCACTCCATTTCCTCCATCGCCCCAACCAGTGGCCATTGCCCTCGCGACTGATGGGTCAGGCATGACCGTCCGACAGCTAGGCCGCAACGCGGCCCTCCTGCGCCGGGCCGACTGGACTTGCGAGCTGCTGAATCTCGGCGAAACATCCCTCCTGCGCGACGGGGACACCCTGTGCCTGATCGCCTCCAAGCCGACCGAGGGACACTTCCTCTTCCGAGCGGCACGCATTCCGACGGGGGGGTTGCTGTCCGACACAGCCGAGCGTGCATCGCCAGCCCCCGTGGCCTCGGTGGACACATCTATCGACCCCCCGACACTGACGACCACCAGCGAGCCCTCCACCTCCGCCACCTCCTCTTTGGCGGCGGCCGCTGCGCCCATGCCCCGGGGCGACTTCCCCAATCCCATGCCCGATCCCAGCGCCTGGTGGCAGCATGTGGCGGCAGGCGACTTCCCCTCGAGGGCCACAGCTCAACATGCGCTCCGCCTAGCACCCACCAGTTGGTGGGAGCGCATCACCTGGCACGGGCTGCCAGGCGATGCACGCGAAGTCCACATCGTCACCCCGCCAGTGGGCCTGGCACATGGTGGCTTTTCCGTTGTGTCATCCGCTCGCGCCCTGGCAACTGTACGTGCAGCCGCCCCCCCCCCCCCCCCCCCGCGGCCTCTTTCCTGCTCTTACTCCTCCTCCTGTTCCGCTTCCCTCCCCTCATCACCCACTTGTCGCCGTGTGTTTTCTCTCGGCTCGCGCCTGACACGCCAATCACGCCGATGGTGGCGTTCTTGTGCAGGCCATCACCGCCCTGCCCCCGACCTCTGTCCCAACTGCCATCATGTTCCACATTTTCCTGTCGCCAGGACTCGACGCGGCCGGGACCAGCCTTGATGCCGCTGAGTGCACCCGTCTCATGGAATGTTGCCAGGGCGAGCAGCTAGGGAGCTCGTGTGTTTTGTCGCGCGCTTTCCTGTGCCACCTGGCTGTGGCTCTTGCAAGCCGCCTCGATGACAGCACTGGCTCCAGCCGGCCGCGCATCGGTATCTCCTTCTCCACTTCGCCAGACAGCCCGCGCCCGATTCGGGGTGCCGGCTCGTCTGGCACGCGCGACCTCAACATTGCCCAATATGCCCTGCGTGTACGAGCCCTGCTGGCTCTACGTGACAACGCCCAGTACGTTTCCTTGCCCTTTCTGCCGGCCGTCGCACACACACACACACACACACACACGCACACACGCACACACGCACACACGCACACACACACACACACACACACACACACGCACACACGCACACGCACACACACGCACGCGCACACGCACCCCCCCCCCCCACCTCTCTCTCTCTCTCTCTCTGACACCACCTGCTGCACATCCTGACACTGCTCATGGTCAGATCCAGCCGCCACGGGACACCTGTCTTCCTTGCAGCTGAGGCCACTTGGTTGATGGCCAGTGTTTGCCCATCCATCACTCGTCGAGCTCCAGGAGCTGTGCAACGTGCGCAGCAGGCCCTGGCTGCGCGACTTCCTGAAGCAGCGGCCCCGGATGACGTGCCCCCAGTGGTGACCGTCGCCCTGAGCCCGCATGAGCGTCTTGCCAGCCTTGGCGGCCTATCTCACGTACGACATACGACTTCCCAGCATTCCTGCCCTTGCTTTCTCCCTTCTCTCTCTCCTTCTCCCCCCCCCTCTCTCTCTCTCTCTCTCTCTCTCTCCTTCTCCCCTTCCCCTCTCCTTCTCACCTCCCCCGATATCCACTCATGTGCTCGCAGCTGTTGCTGATCATCGCACCGAATCGAAGCAATGCCTCCACTTGGCCGCACTGTGCCGGCCTGCCAGAGGGATCGGTCTCGCATTCGGCCTCCGCCCACGGCAGCGCCGAGGAGGCGGCCCACAAAAGGCTTCGAGATTGTTACACTGGCATAATCACGGAATCCGTCACGTGTACCACGGAATAAATATCATTCCAACAGAAAACCCACCGCGTCGAACCCTTGTATGGGTCTGGCTACATGTCGTCGGATGTGGTTGAACGAGCATCCACCCCAGTTCCTAAACCCTCCAGATAGAGGGTCAGTCCGTTGGGGGACACGCCCTAGGTCCCTTGCTTGTCCCCGCAAAAGCTCGGGGTTTCCACAAGTGACCACCGATTTTCCACCCTGATGCCGGGCGTCCTCGGTATATCCGCACGTCTCTCAGAGCTTCTTGCCGCCGTTGCGAATTCCCCCCCCCCCCCCCTCTCTCTCGCCGGCGCCCCTGCCCCAGGCAGAACAAAGGGCGAGACACTCGAGCTGGGAGGCCTTTCGGGGCTCCGCGGCCATGCGAGACACTGTCCCGTCTGGTCCCTGGTCCCGGGGCTGTTAGATCACTCTGCTCATTGCCACCCCCCTGCCCCTCTCCTGCGCCCTTGCTCCGGGATTGGCGGGCACCGGCCTCCTTCGGCCCATTCCGCTCCCTGTGGGTGGGCATACCTAAAGGCAACTCCAGCAGGCCCAGGGAGTTCGCCATTTTGGGCATGCTCGCAGCGGCAACTCGGCGCCCCTCCCTGGGGAGACGCGGTTCCGGCGGCGGTTCGGCCAGGGAACAGCATGTCGAGATGCCCCGCGCCTGGCATGCCCCGCTCGACACGGAGACTAGGACCTGGCTCTCAGCTGGCTGGGGGAGAAGGGGGGCGGCCTCGTATCATTTTCTCCGCCCGTCCCCGTTGTCCTCCCCGCCGGTGGGGGCTGACGGCCGCGAGGGAGTTGAGAGCCAGCTGGCCGGGGCCCATTTCCCCAGGGGCCTGGCTCCGCGCTCGCGCGCGCGCGCGCGAGCGCGTTCCCCTGCTGTTGTGTGCGGTGGTGGTCGCCTCAGCTGGGGCTCCCCCCCGCCCCTTCCGTCCGCTCAGCCATCGTTGCTCGGTTGCCCCTGGCCCGGAGAGAGGTTGTGGGCCCCCCACCTCGCCGAAGAACACATGCCCGGCAGCACCACCCCTCCCCCCGACAGTCGTTGGAACGCGACGCCCGCCCGAGGCAGGGCCCATGCCGCCTGTTGTGGCTCGGACGCACACACACACACACACACGCACACGCAGCGGCTCGCCCGCGCACACTCAAGGAGTAGGGTGATCGTTGAACAGTCGCCCCCCGGCTGTCGGTCAACTAAGGCAAACACCACCGGTCCCTAGAACCCTCCCTCTTTGGTTCCTGTGCCTGTTTACTGTATGCCTCCCCTCCCCCCCTCTCCTACCTCTCTCTCTCTCTCTCTCTCCCCCCCCTATCCTTGCCTTTCGCCGCCGCCGCCGCCTCCTCCTCCACCGCACCTCCTCCCGCCCCACCTTCCTCTCGTTCCCTGTGCAGATTGGCTCGGTCTTTCCCCCACCCCCCGCCTCGGACGGCGGCTCGGCCCCCACACCCCACCGCCCTCTCGCCAGAGTCGCGGGCCCCTCCTTGATTCGTGTCGCCGTCATGCAGGAGCCAAGCCCTTGCGCGAGGTCGCGTCCTTGCCTGCTCACAACACCTAAGTGTGATCACCGGCATATCCTCCTCCCTGGCTCCCCCCTCCCTCTCGGGATCCGGGGCCGGGGGGGGTGGGAGGCGCTCATAATACGAAGTCCTGGCGTTGGCCTCCTTCCCCTCCTCCTCCTCCTCCTCCTTCTTCCCCCTTCCCTCCTTTGCGTCCCTGACACATTGCCTTCCCCCTCCCCCTCGCCCTTCCCCCTCCGCTTCCCTCTCGCGCGCTCCCCCCCCCTCTCTCCCTCTCTGTCAGAGACAGTATGCTGTCTCGCACCGCCTCCATCAGCGCGGCCGCCCTGGGCCGCTTCGCCGGCGCCCGCGCGGCGGCCGCCCCGGCTGCCCACTTCGCCACCCAGGTGAAGAACTTCCCCACTGGCCTGCCGCAGACCTCTGCCCCGGCCACCGGCGAGGCCCTGCGCTTCCCCCCGGAGGATCCTCACATCCCGGAGGAGTTCCTCCCCCCCGCCCCCCCTGGCAACAGTGAGATTCACTACGCCCGGTACATTCGCTTCGGCGAGGCCGGTGACGTGTATGACCTCCCCGACTACCCGGAGGTGTCGCACCCGAACTCCTCTGCCGCCACCATGCACCTGCAGCCGGACGCCACGACTGCCGATAAGCAGATTTACACCGTGGACACCCCGCTGCACGAGGTCCTCGGCGCCCCGGTTCCCACTCACCCGGCCGAGTTCGAGAGCACTCGCAAGGGTCTCGAGGGCATGCGCTTCCGCTTCCTGACTGACCCGGCCGCCGAGGGCAGCCGCATTCACAGCTTCGGTGTCTACCCCCCGCACCCGGCTGCCTTTGACACGGTCACCGACAACTTCGTGTCCTCGGTCTTCCTGACTGAGCTCGGCCGTGGCATGTATGTCGCCCTGCTGAACTTCTTCAAGCCCAGCTACACTCTTCTCTACCCCTGGGAGAAGGGACCCCTGTCGCCTCGGTTCCGTGGTGAGCATGCCCTCCGTCGTTACCCCAGCGGTGAGGAGCGCTGTATTGCATGCAAGCTGTGCGAGGCCATCTGCCCGGCCCAGGCCATCACCATCGAGGCGGAGACTCGTGCCGATGGTTCTCGTCGCACTACCCGGTGCGTTTATCCCCCGCTCGCTTTCTCTCCCTCCCCCTCCCCCTCCCCCTCCCCCCCCCATCATCTCCCCCTCCCCATGTCTGCGCTTCTCAGCCACGCCCATTTCTTTCCTTCCCGGCCCCCTTCTCTGGGCATGTTTCGCCTCCTCACCCTCTTTCCCCGTCCCTCCTCCCCCGGTCCCCGGTTCTCCGTTGCTGCCCTGGCCCTTCCTCCCCCCGCCCCCGCCACCCATGCATGTACACATCGGCCCACAGCTACGATATCGACATGACCAAGTGCATCTACTGCGGTTTCTGCCAGGAGGCCTGCCCCGTGGACGCCATTGTCGAGGGCCCCAACGCCGAGTTCGCCACCTTCACCCGCGAGGAGCTGCTTTACAACAAGGAGAAGCTCCTGGAGAACGGTGACAAGTGGGAGACCGAGATTGCCGCCAACCTGCTGGCCGAGCATCCCTACCGGTAATCGCGCGTGCGCGCGCTCCTCGCGCTCGTGTGGGTCCCCGGGGCGGGGTGCCACTCCCTTCCTGTGCATGTCCGTACGCGCATTCGCTCTTCTGCGATCCCCTCCCCCCCCCCTCCTCGCTCGGGCAAGTGTGGGGGAGTGGATGGATGGTGGCGCCCATCTCATGGGAGTACGTCGCGCGTGCACCTGCTCCCTGTGGTCACCGCCTCCCCCGCATCTTCCCGTGGCACCACGCACCCACCCTTTAGAGTTTATACACCACCGGTTCTCCTCCCCCTCCTCCCCTCCTCCCGTGTCCTTCTCGGGGGGCGGGGGGCGGCTTGTGGGGGGGTGTGTGTGCACGTGCATGCGTCGTCTCCATGTGCGCTCGCATGTGCGAACACACCTACACTTTCAGGCCCCTTCCTCTTTTCACACCCCGCTGCGCCGCAGGTTGTGTGGAAGCAGCACTGTCCTTATGCATGGCGCCGGCCAAAATACCGCCGTCTCGCAGCCTCGCATTGTCACGTCTTGTCCTTCTCCCCCCCCGCGCGCCCGCACAAACAAACATACACACACATACCTATACATATACATGTTCCCTTTTCCCTCCCCCCCCCCTCTCTCTCTCTCTCTCTTTCTCCCTGGGGCACGGGCTCGTGGTGTTCGCTGCCTTCTCTCGCCACCGCGGCTGATGGTTTTTCTTCTCTCTCTTTCCCCCTTCCCTAAATATGCAAACCACACAGCCACGCCAAGAAATGTCCCCTTCCCTTTTGTGACCCAGGGTGTGTGTGGCTCTTGCTCGTTGGCTGTGGGTTGTATCCTCCCCGCTCCGTGTGTGTATGTGTGTGTGCAGCACTGATGGTTGCATCTCTCCCTGACGCCCCCCTCTCCCTCCTCCTTTTCGGGGAGTGCTTTGTGACATATGTGGGCCCACAGCAAGCCGCCCACCCTCCAGGAATTGAGACTCACACTGAGAGCGGCATGTTTAGGAGGCAGGGCCATACACAGAGGGGCCTTGGGTTGGTCTTTTCATCGGCGCCCGCCAGAGGGGGGGCTCCGGCTCCGGCCACGCGAATAGCCGCCACCTCGGCGGTCGCGATGGTCGCGGTGGTCGCGGTGGTCGCGGTGGTCGCGATCGTTGTAATCTCGCCGCCGAGGATTGTGGCTGTGACCGTGGCCACGGTCATCTTGCCGACGGTCACGCCCCCGGTCGCGCTCGCGACTGCGACTGCGATCGCGGCCACGACCACGATCATGGTCGCGGCTGCGGTCATACTCGCGACTCGAATCGCGGCCGCGCCCCCGGCCAGAGACCCGCGAAGATCGACCACCTTCACGACCGTCCGGCGGGCCATCCCACGAGGGAGAGTCCAGTGGGTCTGGCTCCGGGTCATCATTCCCGGGGCCCAGTTTTTCCCACTTGCGATCCGGGCCGCCACCGGCCCCCGGACGACGACCGCGCTTCTGGGCAAATTCACTGTCACGCCGGTCAATCTCCGCCCGATCAGTTTGATCCAGAGGGTCAAGAACCAGCTGGGTGGCAGGGGGCGGGGGGGGGGGGACATGTTAGCGGAAAGAGGGAGGATTGACCGACAGTGGGACAAACGGGAAAGGGGATATTTCCATGTAAATGCGGTGCTCGTCTGCCTAGCAGAGGCGCGTGTGTACCAAATCATCGGCCTCGCCAAAAAGAAGGGCCTGCTGCTCACGCGCACGCGCCGAGTCCTCCTTCTGCAAAATCTTGTATGTGAACCAGTCGGCACCGATCTCCCGGGAGCCAAGCTCCGGGTGGCAGGTCAGGCTGTCCATCAGGAGGAGGTGAACAGGAGCGGGAGTGAACAGTATGGATGGTGTCAGTGGCTAAGGTGAGGGGCAAAGAAAAAAAAAGAGGGAAAAGGCCCCCCCCGCCTCCTCTGCGTCGGATGATGCGACGTAAACGTGAACTGACCAGTCGCGGAGAGCGTGCCGTGAGCAGAGCACCGGCCGCTCGGCATCCGGCTGTTTGTCCTCCTCGCGCGCCGAGGTGATCGCACTGAGCATGCTCTGCTCGAAATTCATCAAATGGGCCATGCTGTCAAAGTCCTTCTTCCGACTGGCGCCTCGCTGCCTCCGGAGGAGGTTGGTCGCGGCTTGGGCCTTGTATGCGTTATGCATGGAGGCGAGAATGTCACGGCCGCTGGGGGCAGGCTGGTTGGTGGAAGCACCAGCACGACGCTCTTCCGATCTCTGAGCATGCTCTGCTCGAAATTCATCAAATGGGCCATGCTGTCAAAGTCCTTCTTCCGACTGGCGCCTCGCTGCCTCCGGAGGAGGTTGGTCGCGGCTTGGGCCTTGTATGCGTTATGCATGGAGGCGAGAATGTCACGGCCGCTGGGGGCAGGCTGGTTGGTGGAAGCACCAGCTGTGCTAGCGTCGCCAGCAGCCTCCTCCTCCTCCTTATCACCATCACTATCGTCGTCGTCGTCAGAGGAATCAACGATGCGGAAGCCACTGGGAGTGGGCTTTGGGGCTGGGCCACCCTCAGCAGCAGGAGCCGAAGCTGGATCGGGGACAGCGGCCGTAGCAGGGGCAGAGGCAGCGACCCCGGTTGCCGTGACAGGAACAGCACTGCCAACAGTGGCAGGGGATGCCGCCACGGTCGGCCGAGGCTCGCGCGTGCCAACGCCAAGCGATTCGTGACGACTGACCAATAGCCTGCCGGCGCCGGCCTTGGGCAGGTCCGCCTCCTCCTCCTCCTCATCGTCATCGCCGGCGAAGGAAAGGAGCTTCTTGTTTCTGGCGAATGGGAGCAAGAGCATTCACGGCCAGGGATGTCAGCCAAAAAGAGGAAAAGAAAGGAAAGGCCCATGCACACAGGCGCACTTGCAGGCGGAAACAAAGGCGACAATCGACACGTACCGGGTCGCGCGTGCGGTCACCACTGGGCGCTTGGATTTTTCGGCCTCACGGCGGGCTGCGGCCTCCCGCTCGGCGGCTGCTTGCCGAGCCCACTCGCTCATCTCCATGTCTTCGAAGGGATTGGCCAAAACCCGAGTCCGCACAATGCGGATTGGCACGTCAGGCACGTCTTCATCGTTGCAACTGACCTCACCAATCCGCAGGGCGTTGAAGATGGTCGGGCCAGCAATCATGCCGAAGATGGTGTGCTTGCGATTGAGCTCCGGCGCCTCGCCCAGGGTGATGAAGAATTGTGAGCCATTCTGGAAGGGGCCCTCAGCGGCCGAGGCTACCATGCCACGCTGGCTGAAGGTCAGCCGGTGGTGAAACTCATGGGAGAAGGGCTTGCCGTAGATAGACTCGCCACCTGGGAAGGCGGAGAAGGGGGGAGGGGGAGGGGGGGAAGGAGATCGAAAAAAAAAACAACAAACAAACAAACATGCCGTTGGCATCGGTGGGAAGGAGGCAGGGGAGGGGAGACAAAGGCAACGGAGGTGTCAGCATCGAAGCACAGGGGGCAAGGGGGGGGGGGGAGGGGCAGCCAGGGGGCATTGTATGAGCATGCGCACCGTCGCCGGTTCCAGTCGGATCGCCGGTCTGGATGATGAAGTTCCGAACCACCCGGTGAAAGAGGCAGCCATCATAGTAACCGTCGACGCAGTGTTGGAGGAAGTTTCGCGCAGCCTTTGGTGCCTCGCGTGCCCAGAGCTCGATCTCCAGCTCGCCAAAGGTGGTGTCCAGCACGACCTTGCCGTTGGTCACCGGCCGGCTGTCGAAAGTCGGCACGGACATGGAATGTGCTCAGGGCGGGAGGCCTGGGGGAATGTAGCGAGGGGAATGAGGGAGAGGGAGGGAAGGGGCGAAAGGTGCGGGAGAGCCGGAGGGCGGGAAAAGGGTCGGGAGCAAGTGCCAGCAACATAGCCAGACCCCTTCAGCTGGGGCGCCTTTGGCTGGGCTCCTCCAGAGAGCGGGGTTCTCGGGGGCCGGGGCCGGGGCCGGGGCCGGGGCCGGGGCAGGGGCCGGGGCAGGGGCAGGGCGAGGGGGAGGGGGAGATATCGCGCAGGGTCTCTCGGCCAAGGAGGCACCCGGAGGGGGAGGAGGGGCGAAGCGCCGACACCGTGCACACGCCCCCCACGACGCATCGTACACGCGCATGCACACGATCGTCGGTTCGACTGGCCGGTGATCGCTAGCGCACAATGTGCGTTGGCAGTCGCGGCTTTTTGGCAGATTCGTCCCCGCCACCTGCTGGGAAGGGGACCCTTTTCTCTTGTCCCCGCCCGCCGAATCCTCTCTGGGGATACTTGGGAAGGCGCATTCGGGCACACGTAATTCCGGGCCAACGGGCAGCCCCTCCTTCCTGGCTACGAGGTGGGCGATGGCCTCGGACTACTGTGTCACAAAATCCGGAGCATGGTCTCTCTGTATTGATGGGCAGGATGCCTGAGTGGCGGGTTGGCGATGGGGCATTTCAGTGGCATTCGGGATGTGGAGGAGGGCCAAAAACATGCGCATCGCGCGTATATTCCCCCTGCCCCTCTCTCGACCCACACACACACACACACACACACAGGCACATATAGGCACATAGACGGAGGAGGTGGAGAGGGGCGGAGGGAGTGGCTTTCCCCACGTTCAGTCGCCGATCTCGTCCTCCGGCAGGGCCGGGCCGCGCAGGGTGCGCTGGCCGAAGTCGGTGTCCGTAAAGTTGGAATAGCAGCGGAAGTCATTGCTAAGCATCTTCGCATGTCCCGGACGCCAGCGGGTCATCTCCAGACCGAGCAGCTCCCGAGCCAGCGGGCGCATCACCAAGCCCGTGCACAGAACCACATGGGTGTTGGGCTGGCCGGCCGGCCGCGACAGGGCCCGGACCGTGGCCGAGGTTTTGGTCAGGCACTCCTCGCTGAGGAAGGGCGGATCAGCCACAATGACGGCCGCGCTGCCGGGCTCCAGCGGGCTGAAGGTTTCCGGCTGATTGTAATCGTAGTGCACGAACTCCGGCGCGTAGACCGCAAAGCGGGTGTCATACTCCAGCAGCCAGGCCGGCGTGTCGGGATAGAGCTCCTGCCGGGATGGCAGCGCATAGGGTCCCGAGGAGGGGTGGTGGCAGGGCGGGCGAGGAGGCGGGTCAGCCCAAGCAGGGGGAAGCGAAATGCATGCGGGACAGCATGAAGCCGCCGAGCAAATGTTGGCAGCAGCCGCAGCCGCAGCCGCAGCCGCAGCCGCAGCCGCAGCCGCAGCCACAAGAGCACAGCCGAGGGGCGACGACACGGCATACATGCCAATTACACACCTTGAACTTGACGTAAGCCGTCGGCGAGCTGAGGAAGACGATCTCCCCCGGGTGGCCGGCAGCGGCGCTGCGCTCGGCCGCCTGCTTGGCCAGATGCGACAGGTCCTCGGCCGTGGCGTCATCATACCAGAATTGGGACAGTTGCCAGTCCTCCGGGATGGCCTCCATGCCGGACTTGAACCGGGAGTCCGCGTCGTCCTGTTGTTGCAAGAGGGGCATGCATGGCGGTCAGTACCTGGCAGAGGGGCAAACTCACGAAGGCGCGGGAGCACGAGGCAGGAGAGGCTGTACATGGAGCTTCTGGAAGCGGTCCTCCAGCTGCTGCTGCTCATCGCGGAAAGCGGCCAAGGCGGCCAGGGTGCTGGCGCTCAGCTGGAAATCGTCGTCGCTGTCGCTGCCGGACATCCTGGCGACTGCGTGTGGTGATGAAGGGGGGGGGGGGGGCGAGAGGAAAGGAGAGGAGCTTGCAGCGGGTGGGGATTCCTCTTTGAGGGATGGCTACTGCGCCCGGCCGCAGGCGCCGGGGGCATGTGGATGTCCCTTATTAGGTTGGTGCGAATCTGCGCGCGCGCGCGCGCGCGAGCGTGTGCGTGTGCGTGTGCGTGTGCGTGTACAGGTGTGTGCTTGCGATCGGCTGGCGGGTGCCCCTCTCCGTCCCCCGGCGCCCCGCCACAGGGGGAGCCACCCGGCTGTGGGCGGTGCATGCCAATGCATTGGGATCCACGAGGTTCCGGGAAGTGCCGACGGATGCGAGGCGAAGGTGTCGCGGAAAAAACAACAGCAGCAGAAAACCGGGGGCCTGGCGCGCAAGAGGGGAGATCCCCCCTCTGTTGCTTGGCAGGTACGCGCCGCGAAAAGAGCAAGGAGGCTAAGTGTGTCTATTTTTTTTTCCCCCGGAGCGCACGCTCCTGCGCCGGGGGCACAGGCAACCAAGGGTCTACCTGCCCACGCCTCGCCCGGTACTCTGTCCACACTCAAAGAAGGATGACGGTGTCATCGTTGGCCGCCTCCGGGATGGGGGTGGGTGTCCCGGCTGTGGCTCGATGCCGGGCAACCAGCGAGGCAAAGGACGCGCTCGGGGCCGGCTGCCCATTGGCCACCGCCTCCAGGGCATTTCCGAGGCTGGGCCCGGCCAATTGGTCGGCCCAGGTGCCCAGTTCCGAGATGGCCCACTCATTGTCGGGGCAGGCCAGCTCCCTCAGCCAGATGTGCAAGCCGGTGGCCAGGTGCTCGCGGGCGACATCCGCCACTTCGGCCCGGTCCAGCAGAGCGAGGCACATTTGGGGGAGTGGCAGCAGCAGGGCGGGCAATTGCCCGGCGGCCGCCTTGCCAGCCTCCAGGCGACGGCACACGGCGAAAAGCGCACGCAAGTGCGCCTGCAGTAGGTGTGCCAAGACGGTGACCCCTCCGGGAGCCTCGCCCGGAGCTGGCGACCCGAGCCAGCCAGCCAACGGGCTCAGCCGGGCGAGCTCGCCGGCTGTTTGCATGATGGCCATGCCGGCACGGGATCCAGTGGCTGGCATATGGCTGACGCCCACGGCCGGCAAAATCGCCAGCTGCAACAGCCAATCCGAGAAGACCGATGCCGTGGCCACCTCCCCGGAGCCGGACAGGTGCAGCAGCATCACAATGTCCAGGCTGCCGGTGGCTGTCAGCCCGGCACCGATCATGCGCACAAGGAGATCGCGCTCGGAAGCCGGCCACCCGGCAGCCGACTCTACGCGCATGCAAGTGCCCGGGCAAAGGTCAAAATCAATCCCCGCGGAAGAGCGCCCAAGGAGCAGGGAAGAAAGACGCACGGAGAATGTGAAGAGGAGGCAGACACAGGTCGAACAGTGCATGTGACCCCCCTTGAAGATCGGCCAGCATCTGTGGGACCCGATCGGCTGACACCTGCTGCAGTAGTGTCAGCAACATGCCCGGATCGCGGGTCAGCAGCTGGCCAAGTGGCTGGCTAACTCGAAAGCCAGACCCCGGCGGACAGGAAAGCCCCAGCCCGGTGACACTCGGCGGCAGGGGCTCCGGCGCCACGGAAAGGGCCTTCCAAGCGAAGTCCAGGGCTCGGCCCGGCTCCAAGCTGAACGACCCGCCAGACAGGTAGATCATGGCATCGGCCAGCAGCGACCCCGGGTCACTGGTCAGGCCGGCAAAGAGCTCCCGCAGGCGGTCTTGCAATGGCCAGGCATCTTTGGAAAGGCGGGCAAGAGCCTCGGCCGCAGGGCGCTTGGAGCTGCTGACCACGGAGGGGGGGCGCTCATTGCGTGCCACGGTCAGCGCCCGCTGGAGGATGACAGCCACCGCAATTGGCCGACGGATGGCCTCCAGGGGATCGATGGCACCCGGGCCCGGGCCCTGGGACAGGATGGCCCGGACCAGGGTGCCGGCCATGCGGTTGGCCGATGCCGCGGCCGCCATGGCCGTCGACCCGGAGCCAAGCCCAGGCGTAATGGTCAGGTGGTGGAAGAGAAAGCCGATGATGGCCGAAATGGCCGCATTCGGAACCGGGCTGAAGAGCCGTCCAAGAGCACTGCCATCCCCATGGGACGACGCCTGGGCGTAGGTTGGCAGACTCGGCTCAGAGGAGGCCAGAATGCGCAACAGCAACGAGCCAGCTGCCTGAACTGGCGCGTCATCCAGCTGCAGAGGGTCCTTCTCGGCCAGCTGGATATCGACGTCCGGCCTGGTTAGCATGGGGAGGAGAGAGAGAAAAGGCGGATACCAATGCGACGCGCAAGAGGGAGGAGCGAGGAGGAGGAGGAGGAGCGAGGAGGAGCGAGGAGGAGCGAGGAGGGAGGAGGCAAGCGAAAGGTCCCCAAACAATACGAGGGTCAAATGTTGCACATGGCCTCCCTCCCCCCCCCCGCCACCTCCCCCGCCCCCGAGCTCTGGATGGGGCTAAAAGACAGCCGGAAAAGCAAGCATCTTCCCATGAAGAGGTACCTGTACCAACTTGTCCAAGATCTGATGAACATCCCCCGTTGTCGGGGACCCTTCGGCCTGATCCATGCGCGTGAGCTGCGCCATGAGTTGCTCCGCGATGGAGGCCGAGGTGTCCGGGGCAGAGCCCGGTAGAGAGGATGGCGCGGCCGCCGAGGTGGGCGTCGACATCGCAGCCCCGGGATGCGCCTCGGCGGCCGAGGTCCCGGGTGTGGTCCCGCCGGGCGACGGCCCAAGTCCAGCGCCACCACGATGGCCCGGAGCAACCAGCCCCTCGGTGAAGGTGCTCTGGCCGAGATCCACCACGTCGGCCAGCTTGACCGGCCGCACTGGGTCGGGGTCGCGGAAAAAGTCCGGGAAGCGGACCTTCAAGCGACCCACGGTCTCTACCGGCAGGTTTGGATGGCCGAGGAGGTAGGCCAGTGGGCGGCTGCGCTTGCCGGCACACATGCAGGTGAGTATGAAGGGCATGCCCAACAATGTGCGACCCCCAGTAGACAGCCCCTGGATGCCCAGGCCCAATGCCAGCCCAGGAGGCAGGGAGAGAGAAAGGAGGAGGGAGGGAGGGAGAGAGAGAGGGACAGAGGAGGAAGAGCGCACCGGATGACATGCTTATCGCGCAGAGCGCACAGAGCATTGTTGATGCCTGCCAGGAAGAGAACACGGAAGGAGGGGAGAAAGCCGCCATCCAAGCCGCCGGCGCTGGGACCACCGGCGCCGGCGCCGGCTGCCAAGAAGTCCAGCAGCGGGGCACTGAAGGAGTGTGCGCCTGGATCCTTCAGCTGGTTCAGCATCAACAGCATGGCCGGCTCTACAAGCATGACATTATCTTGTGGCTGGAACACCAGCCAGTCAAATAGGCAGGCCAGTACCACGGTCTGGAAGGCATGTGTGTTCTGGTTGTGGCCAAAACCGAAAGTGTCAGTTCGCAGGAAGGCGCGGCCATGTTTGCATGGCTAGCAGCATGTTTGCATGTGTGCGCGCATGGACGGGGCGGGCACAGCGTGGATGAAAGGGAGGGAGGGGGGGGGGAGGCGGGGGCGGGGGGCATAGACATACGCGATTCTGCCGGCCCAACAGCCAGCCCAGCACATTCCACCGTTGGATATTGCCACTGGCAATCACTTGGTTGCTGGGGTGATAGACACAGCAGAGGAACCGCACAAGATCCGCGGCCAAGGTGGCCTGCTGGGGCTGGGACAGGTACTCCTGAGCAAACCACTCCAGATGCGCCGACTCCGGCATCAATCCCGGCGGCAAAGTAACCCCGGAGGGGGTGGTCAACGGCCGGGGAACATTCTCCAGGATGAAGTAAAGTAATTCGGCCATCTTCTGAGTGAGCCGACTTGTGTAGAATAGCCGCGGCGTCGGCTGGAGCAGGAGCTGGCGAAGGTCTTCGAACGAGCAGGATGTGGTCAGCGAGGGGGGGGGGGGGGGGATGGGGGGGCGAATGTGGGCGCTCGAGCATGTGGCCATTCAGGCAGCAGGAGGAGCATGGCGCCAGGGGCAAGCCAGGCCACATCCGAGGGCGACTGCCAGGGCATACCTTTTCCCGTGGCCGAGAAGCCCTGCGGATTTTCCACGAGCTTGATCCAGAAGGGGCGCAGTTCCTGATGCCGGGCGGCCAGGTTGTACAGCAGGCGGACAAATTCCCGGCCAATTTGCACCAAGTCGGCCGAACGATCGCGCAGCAGTTGGTCCAAGAACTGGAGTTCCAGCTGCCGTAGGCCGGCATTCTCCCAGTGGTCATTGACCACCGTGGCAAAGCAGTAGAAGCAGGTGTTGATGATCATCGGGAAGCCATACAGCCAGTCCCTGTGGCCAGGTGGTTGGAGGAACGAGGGCAGTTGTGGTGGCAAGGGTCAGGAAAGTTTCTCGAGCTGAGGCCCATGGTCAAGGGCAGGGAGCGCACTTGTTGGCCAACAAAACTCGGAGGACCCCCTCTGCGAGAGCCTGATTGGCGGGCGTGGCGTCGCCGCCTTCAAAGAAGGGGGCCCGGGCAAAGATGGACGTGTCAATGGAGGAAGCCCCGCAAGGATGGCCGCATAAGGAGCCCCAAAGACGCACTTCGAATCTGCTTGACCATCTCGAAGCAGAGCGAATCGACCGAGGCGGTGTTGTTCTCGATGAGAGTTTGGAAGATTTTCAGCAGCTGAAGGGAGAGGAGCCGAAGAAGAGGAAGAAGAGGAGGAGGAGGGGGGGGGGGCGGGTCAGAAGGGCGTCGCGGCAGGATGGGGAGATTGCAAATGAGGGGGAATTCAGGGCCAAATGTCTTGATCCCGCGTACCGACTCCCGCGCATGTGGCTGCAGCTTGTCGTACAGCTGTGTGAAGTGCGTGAGGGTCTCAATCAGAGCCGGGGTCTTGGAGCCTGGCCGGTAGGTGGGCTTCACGAAACGCAAAAGATGCAGGAACTACATTGGCACAAGGTGGTGTCAGGGAAGCCGGCGACATAGATGAAAGAGGGGCGGCAGGCATCATCCCAGGCACGGGACCAGCACGTACGCGGTGCGCGGTCGGCTCGCCAACCAGGACGTCATACGCAATGGCGAGGTCACTCTCACGCTGTGTGTGTGTGTGTGTGTGTGTGTGTGTACAGTCACAAATCATCAGTGTTAGCCATCCTCGCCAGCAGACAACATGCACGAGGGGGGGGGGGGATGCAAGGCTGTGCGCACAATGTTGCTGGCGCCCAGCGCTCTGATGGCATCCGGATCCGAGATGTTGTTCAGCGAGTTCATCAGATGAGCGTTGGCATTGCGCGCTTTGAGCAAGTCCTGTGGCGGGTGGGGCAGTTGTTAGCTTTGGGTCTCGTCGAGGGGAGGCAGCGCGAAGAGGAAGGGCCGGAGATGGGAGAGGCGGCGAGGAGAGGCGGCATGAGGGGTGGGGAGATTTGCAAGAAGGCCGAGCTAGCATAGGCGCGCACCCGCTCTCGGGGGTCCATCTCGTCGAAAACGCGCAGATTCAGGATGAAGGACTTTGTGGCGCGGTCCACCGGGATGGCGCCTGTGCTGTGCGTCGGGATGGGCGGCGGCGCCTGGCCCGGGCCCTGGGCCTGTTGCTGCATCGACGGGGTGATGTGCCCGCTGGCCGGGATGCCGGGTAAAATGGGATGAGACATGGATATGCTGGCGCCGTTGTGAAGGGCAGGCGGGCGGGAAAGGGAGGGGAAGGGAGGCTGAATGGAACAACCGAGAGCCACGGCGCCGGGTGTCCTTGCGCGGCGCTCGCGCGGAGGGCAAAGGGGGACACAAGGGACAGGGGAAGGGAGGGATGGCAGGGAAAGAGGACGCGGGCGTGGGTGTGCGGGTGTGCGAGCGGAGCCCCGGCAGGTGCCATCTTCCCCGGTGTTCTCGTTCCGATGGCCGGTGCTTTTTTCGTTTCCCCCCTCCCCCCGAGGGAGCCACCCCTCGCGGACAAGGAGGCCGGGTGCGAAACCACAGACCTTGACTTGGGGGGTGCGGCTGGTGTGGAGTGGAAACCGCCCGGACACAAGCGTCCCCCCCCCC